TGAAGAGGCAAAAGGAAGATCAGGGAGGAGAAAAAAAAAAGCTGGTGAAAGTATACAGTATATGGTTGCTTTCCAGATGTGTTGGATTGCAACTTCCCTACTCCAAACCAGTGTGATCCAAGCCTCTGCAACTCAAAAATCTTGGGTTGCAACTGACAGGGAGGGAGTAGTAAACCAGATTGTAAAAATAGATTTTGATCTACTCTTTCAAAAAACCAAGCAAGATATGAAAGAGAAATACCTGTTATTTTTCTCGTGGCAATCAATCCTCTGGGGTGAATGACCATTTGGTCTCCTTGAGCTTCTAACATGAAGGTTTCATTGTTTGCAAAGGATTCTGGACTGATGAGATTTGTTTGGATCACTGGAATGACAAAGAAATGCTGAGTTCCTGGATGGGTCTAATGAATGCTAGTCATTTTTGTTTTTGTTTTTACCAGAAGGTCCTGTTAAACCAGAACCACATCTCATAATAGAGTGAAACAAAATTCTTAAAAACAGCACTTTCTTTGAGTAAATGTTCTGTTCCTGAAAGCATTATTTTCCCAGCTCTACCAATAAAATGTGGTTTGTGGGATTTCATATGATCCATGAGGTATTAATATCAAGGAATAATTTCTCCAAAGAGCATTAAATACCAAAAGAAGTGATCATCTGCCTTCCAACTTCTACTATTTTTCTGGGTCCCAGGCTGATACATATGTCATGGGAATCTGAGCTTTTCCCATCCAATGGGTTTATTTGTGAAAAAGGGCGTTCTCATTAACCATATTGATTGCAGTGATACTGATTTTAATTTTACTTCTGATTTTACTAGTATTCTTTTTGTTTTTATGTTTTGTAACTTATATCTTTAATCAGTGAAAACTACTTTGAATGTTTCATAGAAAGACGGGAGATCAATTTAATTAATAAATTAGATGAATAAATTGAAAATAGTCCTGATCGCTAATATCCAGGCTAAAGAAGTCAGAATTGTAACTTTCAATTTACAATGACATCACAACAGGAAGACATGCTAACAGGCTGATGAATGAAAGGAGGCTCCGGCAAGGAATTTCACTTATAAAACCTCAAGGCAGATGCCTTTCTTTTTTTCTTGAAAGAGAAAGAAGGCCCTCTTTCTTTTCCTTACCTATGGAGTTTTGAACCACAGTCCGGGGTTGCCTTTCTGGAGATGCAAGAGCTGTTGATAGTGCAACTGAGCTTATTCCCTCAATAACCAAGGGCAAAAATGTGACAAAAGTCTTCTTTGTGTTGATATCCCAGAGGGAATGGTTGTGAAAAACATTTTTGAAGAAATCCACTGAGTCCTGCAGTATCATGAGAAGCAAATAGACCTCTGATCCATGGAAATCTCACTTAGTTTTACTCAAGCATTTCATTAAAGAAGCTCTTTTCAAGATATTGTTGACGACACACAAAAGACTTCAGCTTCGATCTTACACTATTATAGGGCCATATGGCTGAGTTCATTCACTGTTCATAGCCCAAAGGTAGTTTGAATGACTGCAGCCACTGTGGCTCATTCCAAAAATCAAAGTTGAAATGAATCTTGGAACCCAGCCTGTGTTTATGTTTATGGATATAAATATCTCACCTGTTCATTTTTTTTAAGTGAAAAAATAACATAATCATCACATCAGTTTCATAGTTTCACATGCTTAAACAGACTGTGTACTGGTTTGGGTAGAACTAAAGACCATATGGAAAAATGGGGGTTTCTCCCTGAGGACAAGGATATTTACTACAGCAATGTAGTGCTATTCAAACAACTATCCATCTTTTACACTGTCCCTTGGGACCGACTTGCACACAGAATGACTTGCTGGTCGGAAATACCTTTGCCATCAATGTCTGGAGGTTGAGTCATGGCAAATGGACTTCAGACTGAAGAAGCTGCTTGGACAAGTAGCGAAACGTCTCTACCAAAAAGAA